TGGGCTATGATTTTTTGACATAAAATGTAATTTGCAGCTGGCGTAGCGCAATAATGGCTCAAATTGTTATTCAGAGATCTCTTTTGCAATGGTCTATCTTTCATATAACCGCTGTATAACTGAAGAGAAAGGTATTTTTCCAGACTAAATCGAGCGAAGAGATTGAGGAGCTCCGCCAACGACGCCGAGCTAGGCGTAAACGTCGAAAGAAGCGCATGAGAAGGCTGGCAAGAGAAGCAGAAATGAAGAAACGACGAGATTTTGAAAGTGATGCGATGGTTAGCGTACTCTTTCGCTCGATAAAGGATAGAAAGCATTTTCTTTCTTATTCTAGAAAAATACTGCAACTCAATTTATATCATCCTCTCGAATTATTGATCCCTTGTCTAATGAAAGTATTAATCCCAAGATGATAAAGGTGCGTATCACTTTTTTGGAGCTTGACCGTGAGTAATATAGGTGCGCCATAAAAAATGCTTTTAGGCAGAGTTGTTATCAGCGGTAGAACGCCTTGGACCTTCATTGCCACCTAACACTCTTGATCTCCTCATAGATCAACTGGGAGGGCCAGAGTATGTTGCAGAGGTCAGTTTTAGGTTTTTAGGTTTTTTTCAAAAAGAGTGTTGGCCTTGCGATGATTTTTAGTCCTATTGTGAGTTTCAGATGACCGGAAGGAAAGGTCGTATAGTCACAAGAGAGGATGGTGAAGTTGAATATGAACTCCGTCATGCGGGTGCAGACGTCCCTTTAGAATTGATGAATATGGACGAAAAGGACAAATTTATGAAAGGGGAGAAGAAGATTGCCATTATTTCGGAAGCTGCTTCGAGTGGAATTTCACTGCAGGTTATACGATTTAAGATGCTCTTATAACTCTGCATGTATTCGCAACGCTCCGCTGTTTCAGTCTGATCGCCGAGCTCAAAATACTCGACGTCGTGTCCATATCACTCTCGAGTTGCCTTGGTCTGCGGATAAAGCCATTCAGCAGTTTGGTCAGCCATTATTTCACCTTTTGTAGCCATTTGAATTATTTTATATTTTTCATATCTTCTTTCGTAGTGATCAATTTTGAAGGAAAATTACTGAAATCTGTTACTTATTACCAGTTTCATATAATTCTAAATTTCTGTTATCTTTGGGAAGTCATACTGTGTAAAGGAACTTCAACTCCTTTTTTGCTTACTTTACATTGTCATTAATTCTTTACCTTTCTTTTACTGGGAGCTACAGTTTTGTAGTTTTCTTTTTGTAGTTAATGACCCTTTCGTGTTTAGGTCGCACACATCGCTCCAATCAAGTGAGCGC